CTTTCTATTCTTTTATCATTGGCATTGGCTTGCGTTGTATGGTTTTGATTTGAAGTTTGACTCCGTTTTATGGAATGCATACAGGATGAGTCGGGTAGCTTGAGACAAAATAGGTCCTATTGCATAGATATCATAGTCTGGCCGCGCTTCTGCAGTTTGGCGAATAATAGGTAGACCGATTCAAATCGACAAGGCAGGTAAGCCGTCAACTGACGTCTTCGTTGATGAACATATTGCTTTGTTTTAGATGTCACCGTGAAGAGAAGAATGCGTGGGGAAGATAACCCGTGCAAGAATAATGAACAAAGGTTGTCGCATGGCTACCAGGAGATAGAGTCCCCAATTTGCATTCGGTGACCGTTGGAACTGTTTGCATCAACAGAAAATGGCGACGTCCATAAGGTACGTTGTATGCGGCGGCTTGGGAGTGGGTAACTAGGGATTGCTTTCATAGAGAACTGTCCAGTTAACGCCAACCACATTCGCTTTGGGGATACATATGGTTTCCAGTTCACCGTCCCGACTGCAATGGACATTGGTGGAGCTACTTCTATGAGCTCAGTCATCTATATCAGCAGCCTGCAGGGCAAGGCGGTTGGACGAGCCTAGGCTCGGAAGACGGGCAACAATTGCTCTGATTCAATCGGGCCCGTTAGTTAACTACCATGACGCGGTGAAAAAAAAAAAAAAAAAAAAACAGCGCTCTCTGACTGATACAGGGTACCCTGCAAAGAATACCGATTTAGATGACGAGGTAGGTGATTTCATTACGGGGGAGATATTGAGTTACTATGGGGACGGCATGTTGACGGGCACTTAGCTCCGGCTACAACTTGCCGGCGAACAAACTTCCTATAAACCAACTTCCCAACAAGCCGATCATGCTATATAACTAACTGACTGCTGCAAGATCTCGCAAAGCCACTCGGGTGGATCAGATTGGCCAATAGGAAAGTGCGGCAATTGGGCGTGAGATTCTGATATTCTTACGTTCCGGGGACTTTAGCCGTGAGCCCTATATCAAGGCATGAAAACTGCTCCATATAGGAGAGTTCCGAAAAAGGTCAATGAAGATATGTTTGTTGGGGGTGTGGAAAAGCGGCGTGTTTGAAGGTATTTGGAAAAGATAGTTATATTCGAAAACTTACCAGTGCAATAGAATAATCCAAACAGAAGTGAAACTGAATTTAGAAAATCTGACCATCAGGCTGCTGGGCAAAATTTTGCTTCTCTCGACTCATCAATACTATTCCTCTCCTTGCATACACTCGCCATTCTTGGCCAACGCGGTGCTCAGGGGATTGGCAAATTGGAAGTACTACAAGTGGTAAATGCATCGGTATCGGCCAAATAGCAAGCGTACCGTTCTCATGATATCTGGTTCCGAGTATTTAGATATGCGCAGTACATGAACAAACTTGAGAAAAAATATACGTATACCGTCGAGGAAAGGAACGTAGGCGGGATCTGATGTCGACATCATGCTTTCTCCTGCACCAAAAGCACCGAATGGGGGGCCGTTAGCAGCAGCTGCAGGTTCACAAGGACACACCATCGCTGTTTAGTCAATTCAGCAAAGATTGAATGTGAATACATCCAACTTGGAAGATATGCCACTTCCGGAAAAAAGAAGATGAGGAAGAAGAAGAAGAAGAAGAAGAAGAAGAAGAAGAAGAAGAAGAAAGAAAGAAAGAAAAAGAAAAAATCTTACTGCTTTCATGATCTGATACCCACCAGCCATTATATTCATTAGATCTAGCTCCCAGTCCCCTTAGTATGTTTATCGCAACAATGGCGGTTCTCTTTATCCCCCTTGACGCGACAAAGGGTGGCATATCCAACGGGTATATTTGGGTATATTGGTCACAGTTACAGTATTCCGAGAGATGGAATTGGAGACGTTGCTCAACCTTCATATATCACAAGTTGGGACAATAAAAAAATAAGATCATGGAACTGGAAAGCTAGGTCAGGGTGAGGGTCCTAATCGACATGACCTGTAACATAGGTCCTCACAAGCACTGGGGGCATAGCAATGCTGGTTAGCATTCGTTTGATTAAGATCTGTCTGTATAAAGGAGCCAACCTCGCAAACATTAACGCCGCATTTGATGCAAGACGGTGCGTTTGCTGCGCCGCATTCAAGATTGTATAATAAACTCTCGGTCCTTCTATTTACAATCCCTTAAACTCTCGACATAACTTGAGGGCCAGGCCCACCACAGATGTTTTCTCGTTTTAGGATATTGAATATCTTTCTTCGAGTGCGAAAAATCAAGGTATATAGTTGAGAACTTGCCAATACAAGATGGAGAGGATCGAGTGCGCTGAGATAAACTACCGCCCAACACGAGCATTCCATTCTGACCATGAAATAGAGACTATGTCAGCCATGCTAAATTACCAGAAGATGACAGGATTTCCAAGAAGAGGAGTTATCCATGCCCATCAAGTGGCATCAACAGACAGATCCTCGATTGATGTGCCCTTTAGATGCTGAGAGCTCTTAGTAAAACCAATCAATCCAATGCAGTTCGTGTGATAAAAACTAGTTATGCGGAATTCCTCAACGAAGGTGGTGGGGCTCTCGGATTTTCCAAGAATTCCAACCCAACAGTGGAACACCGATTCTGTTTTAACTCCGCAAACACTCTGCTCTTTTTGAACATTTTCCGGAGGGGACTCTCCTTCATATTATAGAGCTGATGGAGTTGAAATATCAGGATATGAACACCGAGTCAAGCACAGCGAGTCTACCCATCTCAGCACAAACATGGCTGGCACATGAGTCTGACAGTGCTCGTCAGCCCCCTCGGGGATGAAATTGTCAGGATGGTTCAGAGAGAAGTAAAGAAATGGTATATGCCATTTACAGCAAGGCTATATATAGAGAACTCTGCATGACTCTGTCAAAAAAATACTCTCATCTATCCTCTTGCTTCTAACGCCAATGTATGCACTACCCTTCTTATGAGGACAAAACAGGCCATATAACCGCCGAAAGGAAATGTAAAGTGCAGCAAATACTCGGACCCTCCGCTCACATAGCAAACAAGCCTGCATACCATGTTATCTTCCTACATATGGTTTTCCCTTTTCAAAAAAAAAAAAAAAAAAAAAAAAAAAAAAAACCCCAAACTCCTTGGTTGAACAATAGACCGACATAATACAAACTACCACCTTCCTACCCTCTCACCCTCCGTCACCAAGTCTTATCGATTTGCATTCGGCGATATGGCTATGGTTCTGCCACCTCAGATTATCTTGACTGAAGGAGGACTTTCTCCTGGATTATACTCCCTTTGCTCAAACCTGCCAGGCTCCCGAGGATTCACGGCAATGACCTTCACTTTGTTCTCCAGCAGGATAGGATATTCAATGTTCCACCACGTCGACGATGGTCTATCGTGAAAGGCCCCTTCCTGGATCATGATAAAGGCGGTGTCCTTCGTGGCCATTGCCATCGCCTGGGAAGCGCGTGGGATGAGCTTTGCCTTCTCGTCCTGGTTGGTGCATACAACTTCCCATTGGACCCACTGCATGTCGTCCATGAGGTCGTAGTAATATGTTCCGCAGATATGCCTGGCGAAATCCTTCGCGTCGTTGGCATCCGAATCAGCGGTCCAGAAGACGGCTTTGGAACCATCCCAGTTTTTCGCGTAACGCATCCATCCTGAGATTGTTTTTACGGGTGGGCATGCGTTATCGTATGGCCCTCGTCTCTCGAGGGAATTTTCTTGCGGGACCGCCAAAGGAGTTGCGAACGTAACTAGAAGGGCCAATATGAAAGTGAGGAGGACGGGAGACTTCATGATTTGTGTGTGCGTTCCGCAGAAGGGAGGAAAAAAAAAAAAAAAAAAAAAAAAGGGATTCAAAGGTATGGTTTGGAAGAAATCAGCCACTTGAGTGCAACGTCGTTGATTTCTCTTTATATATGCATGTACCGTTCATGTATATCCCAACGGCCACGGGACCCAGGGGATGAGTTACTTCACAGGCATTCTACTATGAATTTGTGAGAAGAATAAGATGAATAGCTCCGGGATATTGAACCCCCATGCAAATCGCCTTTGGAGGATTCTATTTTCGTATTTCACGATGTGATTATCCCTAGTGTTTTTTTTTTTTTTTTTTTTTTTTTTTTTCCTTCCGAACCACTGAAGACACACCTCCTTCCTCCCCGACCCTACCACCACGGGGGTGCTCTCCCATGGGAGCGGGCCGTGTAGGATCAATAAATCCACCCGATGTCGAGGCTGGGTTTGAAAGAACCCGCTTTTAGGTAGAATGATGTGGTGAGGCTGACTTGTAGCTTCGGGCGTGGGAAAGGCATTTCGGTACCTGGCTCTTGTATATTGGGAGATACTGATAGCTCCATTAAAAATATCTCGTTGAATGTTAAGTGTTTCTTCTCCTAGTGAACTATTTATAAGCCCTGCTAACTAATATGCAGCCCTTCCCTCTTTGGCTTATGGAGAATAAAGTGACCTTCATCCGGCGAGTTATGTTACTGCAAACTTAAATCATCCAATTGTTTGGGTTCAAATACTCCCAGGTCACTATCAAAGTGAGCATCCTATCATTTTTGATTTATCTGAACATGAGGAAATCAAAACAAGAAAAGAAAAGAAAGAAATTGTTGTTGTTGTTGTTGTTGTTGTTTGAACACGGATGGATGTGCGCAATGCATACGGAGTAGCATATAGTTTACTCCTACGATTTTGACCGAACTCACCAAGCATACGAAGCTTTATAGTTCAGTTTGTGTGGGCCAGGGGTCAGATCCTTGGGCTCGGCATTAATTCAGATCCTTGAGCTGACACTGTAAGAGTGGGTTCGATCTCGCTACAGTTTACACGCAACTGGCGCCAAAATGCCACCTTTAAAATAATCTCCGACTTTTTCACAACCGGGCTTCCTCATCTAACTACACCGTTAGTTACACGGCTATTTACGCTGCTGAGAAGCCGTATCGTTCAGGATTTGTCTACTTATTTGAGTTGTCAGAAAACAGTGTAATAGTTTTAATCCCTGTCCAAATCTTTTTGAATATTTAATATTAACCGATCCTGTTGGATTTATACCTAGTTATGCGGCAGCTGAATGGAAGTCAATCCACGCTCAAATTTTAAGAATCTCACCGAATCTGTGAGCTTATTCTGGCTGGACAGTGGCGCTGCTGCGACTTGGCGCGGGTAAAAATTAACCAGATAGTGAACTAATAACTAGAGTAAGATACAACGTTCCAACGTCCATCACTAACTGATATTCCAGCCACGTTTTCAAAACAAAACTCCCTGTCAAGTCCACTAGACTCTGGTCACGTCGTTCATCGCTGCTCGTTTAACCTGTTACAGATGTTTCTATTCTCAACCCGTTTCCCACTGACCATGGATTCGATAGACGACCAACTCATCCCGCCCTTCTCTAATGATGACGGGGCTTCGCTTGAGTCTTGCTAGCCTTTGTGGATTTCTATCAACGGAGATGTTTACTGCAACTGTTGCTTCCCACATGGCTAAATTAGTGAGACATCTTCTCTTACGTTATCCGGACACTACTGTGATGCAAGCGATCATTTCGCAGGGCCACATACATATGCAACATCCCACTGTACCAAGCCTTCTATGAAAAAGATCCTACTATTGCGAACACGCCATTTTGACAGGAGTGGGGCCCACCTCTATCAATAGATTCAGTTTCAAGGCACCCCCTCGACTTTATCTCCTATCTCTTATCCCATGGAGCGAAACCCTAATGCGGAATTCTCATTCTTCTCGTTCCCGCTAGCCGGCGCTGCTTTTACCTGTCGTGGATCTACGGAAGTGGTTGACCTTCTCTTGGAGAACAGTTCCAATGTGCGCCATACAAGTGCAGATATTTTTGTTGGTCATTGGGATGTGGTGGCTAAATTACTATTGAAGCATGGAGCGACACCAGCCACAGACCCGCCAAAACACAATCGCTTTGGTGGTAATAGGTAACCATCCTGAACTTGTTGACCTGCTGCTCAAACATAGTGCGGATAGGGGTCATAGAAATGGGGAGGGGAAAGCCGGCATTCGACAATTGCCGAGCGAATGGGATGTGATTTCGAAACGCTCAGGTTGCTAAGAGAAGAACTAAAATTTAATAACAGATGGATATCCTATTATCGGAAGGTGGAAATAGGTAATTATTTGGGAACATTCTGTCCACTCTCATGTAATCGATCCGGCAAATCCATGAATACTCTCAAAGGGCCGAGTTGTCACCTCTGAAGGCCCGTTGACCTAATAATAGCTACTTTTGTTCCTATCCATTAAGGGATATCGGGAGAGAGCGAAGAGTTGTCCAGGATCAATCTCCCCGAACTAACCTCTTAGCCCGCCCTGGTATTCTGCCGGCGCCCCGTCCTCGCCCGCCCAACCCCTCGGAGAAGGTCTTTTGGTGAGACTCATGAACTCAACGAGAAGCAGAACGGTCGGCGGTAATTTCATCGCCAGGAACGGGCTTGCTACTACTAATTGCGGATAATATTCTAAGCATTTCGTCACCACCAAGGGCCTTTGTCTTTGCTCCTGGGAAAAGCGGAGTGACTGCACACAGGGAGGATGGCCGTTACTAAATGCGTGTTTATCTATTTTGAGAATGGGTAAGCGGAAATGGTGCTGTATGGTTATAATTAAGGCTATCGATGTCATATTGGAAGGAAGATATTCAAAATATAAACCACCTCGATGAAGGCCATGGACGTTGTTTTCCCCCTTACATTTCGACTATCAAACCCGATTATACAATTCCAACATCCAAACCGCACCTCGCATTCGAACTTCGAATTTGGCCTTCCCATTCTGTGGGCCCTCATATAAATTATTCTCTCATCTCTACTCTTATGATTTGGCAAACTTAGATACCGCACCGTGTTGCACATTTGTCCTTTCTGGGTTGCCCCCTCACACTCACTGCGTTTCGCTTAACGGCGGAGGTTACGCAGGAAGCGATGATCTTTACCACAGTTCCCACACTGTTGGCCTGGTCCTTATTGACTTTTCACTTGGCTGCAGCACGCGACCATCCTGGGCTGCTTGATGGATTAGACAAGGTAATTCCCTGGAAGAGGTTTGAAAATATTGCTATCCTTGGGGATAGCTACGCCGCAGGTATAGGGGCGGGGAAAGTTCTGGAAGGAAAGGGAGACGCGAAGTGCTCGCGTTATGATGGAGCATATGGTTATGTTCTCAAGAGCCTATCCCCCAGAAAACACAACTTCCAATTCAAGGCTTGCTCTGGAGATACAACGGTAGAAATCAAAAAGCAAGTTGATTCCCTGAAGAACAAATCGCAAAATTTGGTTACGCTGTCTGCCGGAGGAAACGATGCTCTGCTATCAGAGATCCTGCGAAATTGCGTTGTTCTTCCGTCGAATGAAAATGCATGTAACAAGGCGATGGCAGCCTCACAGGCGGTAATCGACATGAAACTTCAAGGGAACGTTGAAGGGCTCTTAAAGAAGTTGGTCCAGAAGATGAAGAATAATGGCGTTGTCCTCCATACGCTATACGGAACTTTCTTCAACTCAGAAACAAACCCCTGCGATAAGCAAAGCTGGAGTCTTTTCAACAACTTATTCCTAGACGGGGGCGGCGGCCTAATGATGACAAAAGATCGACGCAAAAAGCTGAACAAGTTGGTACAAGACGCTAACGCGAAAATTTCAAAAGCCATTGACAACGTCAGCCGCGACAACAAACATGTCAAACTCGTGAAGGTGGAGTGGGACGATTTCGGAATTAAAACCCAAGGAAGATTTTGTGAAAATAAACCGGTTGAGAAGAAGCAGATGTTTTACATGTATGGTACCTCGCGACCCTACATCCCTAGCCAGAAGAAGCAAATCGCATCAGACGGTGACTCTGCCGGCCCGAATCAACATGATATCCGGAAGCGACTTCCGGATTCCCTTGGCAGAGTGTTTCATCCTACCGAATACGGACATGGTGTCATTGCTTCTCGCGCAGTTCTGGCTTTGTTCAGAGCCCTTGCCGGCGAAAAAGTATGCGCTCAGCCCCCGAAGCCGAAGCCGAAGCCGAAGCCGAAACCGGGGAAGCCTCCAGGGAAGCCGAAGCAGAAATGCGACACTAATTGGGTATCCTCCTATCCCTTTAATGCGTTCGACCTTACCCATAAGGAGTTCTGCAGAGTGGTGAAGGGACAGAGTAATCCTGGGCGTCCTGTACGATTGACTGTCAACTCGAAGGGCAATATAAAGATCTCTCCTATCACCGTTCAAGACCCCAACAGCCCCGGCTATCCATTTTCAAGGAGAAAGAGAACCCCTCCTCCAAACCCCAATACCTGGAAAGACATCACTATCCAATATACATGGAGGGAAACGATTGGCGGGACGTGTTCCGCGAGCTGTGATGAGGCGTATTCCCTGATCGCCAGATCTGAATGTAAGTCTTACGTGATTATTTCATTTTGACAGAAACCTATCGTCAAAGCTGAAATGTATATGCTAAAGTCGTAACGGTAGGCGGCCACCAAGGCACACAGCAAAACCAGATGACTGTCGAGGGTAAAATCGACGTGGGATGCGGAGTCTACTCTTATTCCTTGCACGGCCCGCCACGGCTAGTGCCAACGGAACCTCGAAAGGCCCCAAAACAAGATCCGCCGAAAAAGCCAGCGGTGCCAAAAAGCCCAGAGTGTTATGGTGCGCACCAGTTCACAACGAAAGGCGATGTAAATCCATTCGTGCAAAAATTTACTGCTTCAAAGGCGTGTGGTAAAGTCCCGCGCAAGACTATGAAACAAGGCGACAAGCCCATCGTCTACCATGAAAAAGTCGGGCAAATGCCATATCGCTATGCAATCACGTGGCTCCATGGCTGCAAGAGCACTGTTACGCAGATGAACGTTCTCAATCCTGTAAAGGGTGATAAGGCTAGCTGCATGACATTGATGAAGAGGTCGTACTCAGATTGTAAGTCGTTCTTCACACCCGTACCTTTCCTGGGGCTTTCGTGAGGGCACAGTGTCGCAATTCGCCTGCCCATGACGAGCGATTATTTAAAGCGACTAACACCCCTTGTGTTACAGGCAAAGGAAATCAAGGTAGAGGCGGTTATTTTGACGTCGGCTGTCTGCGATACGAATTTGCTCCACGGGACGTCAAGTAGGCATCGTTTAGCCAGCCGCAGAGCATTTTAGAGAAATAGAGAAAGTCATAAGTTAACGGTGTTTTGGGTTTTTTTTTTTTTTTTTTTTTTTCTTTTTCTTTTGGGTTTGCGGTTTAGAATATTTTCGCATGTTCCTGAAACTGCCGGGTTTGCAGATGAGCACGGGTGAGGATCCATACTTTGGAACGAAGGATTTTTTTTGTTTACAAGTGTTGGTTCATGGACTAATTAGTTGGAATAACTAAAGCTTACGCACGGAATTAACTGGTTAACTATGCAGCGTAACGGTTTTATCACTTTGTATTATCACGCTAATTAAGAATGAGAGATTACCTTGGTGTGTTTGTCTTGTCTTAGAGGTAACTATCTATGTAGTGGAATGGCACAAAGTGGCCAACCGAGCTCGTGGTGAAATATGTTCGGTTAACGAACGTAGTTCATTCGTCCCAGCATTAGCCCCATCCTATGATTCAGCGTTTGTCGAAGGTGTTCTCAGTCGTGGCATTAGGGTGAGGTTGGAATTGTCACAGAGCAGCAGAAGAGGTTCAAAGTATACCCTAGAGAGTGAGAGAGTAGAGATTTATATAATTAGTTGCGCGATTCCTAACTATCGAGAAATGAATCACTCATATTTAGAGTGGCATTAAAACATGCAACGTTACGGGGGAGCTGGCTAGTAATCGTGCCGCTGCGCAACCCACACCTCGTGTGTGGGTGCGCCACACCAAAATGATAAAAACACTGAAACGATAAAAATCTTGAATCACATCCTTATTATTGCACTCTATATCAATAATCAGTAGCTAATCTATAATAAAAAGATTATCTACATCATTCTCAGTATGTGTGTCATTTCTAAATTGATTTAATTCCTCTTCTGTCAGTAGTGTGAGTGGGTTATTGTCAATTTTCATAGGACCAACTCCAAGCCTCTGTCACTTCTTATTCTGCTCTTTTTCAGCTTCATTATCCTTACACTGCTTGATTTTTCTATTGGCATCTTTAATAATGAGGACTCCCCCTACTTGAACCTGGTGATGGGTTGTTTTAGCTCTGCAGTGTTTACTGGCATTGAGAAAGTTCTCTAATTCAGTGATCTGTTGCTCATTAAGTTCTGTATTGATTAGACTTACTTTGAATATCTTGTTCAAACAACATGTCAAGGTGGGTGATTTCAAATCAAGAGTATCTCTAATACTTTGTATGGCGTTTTCCGCAATATTAATATGGTGTTTCAGCTTTTGAATTGTCTTTGGTGAGGATAGCTGAGAGGAAGAGGTAGGTATGTGATCTGAATCATTCTCATCTTCATAAATCTGCAGTGGAGGAGGTGATGAGATTCGCTGCTTAAGAGTGTCAAGAACTCGGTCGGGATTCCATGGATATATGCCACGTTGAGCCCATCCTGCAGCTATTGTATCAGGTTTAAAGGTCTGCTTTCGCATAGCTGAGAGATCTTGTAGGAACTGCCGTTTTTCATACTTAACAAGACCATGGCGTGCGGCATAGTTGACTGCTTTTGAATGGTAATGCTTATATTGCTGAAATAGTAGACTATCCAGAGGTTGTAGCAAATGAGTGGCATGCGATGGAAATCCATATAGAATTATCTTATGAAGATCCGCGTATTGTATGAACTCCTCAGTGATATGAGATCCATGATTATCCATTAAAAGCAATCGATGACTTCCTTTCTGTCTCTTTTCTGTAGCAGTATTGAAATGTTTGAGCCATTCAAATCCAATCTCATCATTTGTAAATCCAGTATCTGATATAGCAATTCTATAATTGCTGGGCAAATCTGTCTGTGTATACCAATCCTCCAAGTGTGTTTTGGAGGCCAAGATTATCAATGGCGGAATGACATGATTATCCATGGATACACATTCAATGACTGTAATAAAACCTCTTGAAAAGGATGAAGGAATGATGGAATTAGCTTCTTTAAAAGCAGTTATAACCCATTCTCCACATCCTTGTCCTTCTTGAAATCCAATCTCATCGAAGTTGTATGTGTCACAGGCGTGAAATTGATACTGCTCAAATAGAATCCGGAGACGTTCAAACCATGTATTGATATATCCAATATCTTCAACTGTCACTCTCTTTGGATCCATTGGCTTCTGTTTCACCCTCTTATACTCAGGTAGGGGTTCAATGAACCTATAAGTCCACATCTTGCTGACTTTTGAAGGAGAGGTAGTAGGATTTATGTGCTGACGTCTGAGCATTGAATTTGCGAAATCTTCAATGTGTTCGGCTGTGGGAGGACAATTCTTTTTTCATCAAGCAGCTTGACCCATTGTTTAATTGCATCCTCCTGACTCTCATTTAATCTCTTGTTAACTGGAATCTTTGCAGTATTCGGATTCCTTCCATTGATACGCGCTTGGAGACGTTGATAAGGAACCTCAAATTCTCGTGACAGAGGCAGTATTTTGGAATTTGGGTTTTTTTGGTGGTAAGCGACAGCTTTTTGAATACGGTCTTCGATATTTTTATCCTTATTTGACATTGTGGTGAGTTATTAATTGATGAAGATGATGAAGATGATGAAATTGCAAGATTTTTATCATTTCGGTGTTTTTATCGTTTTGGTGTGGCGCACCCACACAAGGTGTGGGTTGCGCAGCGGCACGATTAGTCAATAACATCGAACTACTTACTATGATAATTAACCCCCGAAATTAACTATATTTAGTATCTTCATTGATCAAGTCAAAAGTCAATCTCTCCAGGGCCTTGTTTTGCTTAAGAACTGTGCAGAAAAATGTGTCTCCTGTTTGCTGTGCAGCTGCAAGACAGAACTCTCCGTCTGCAGGAGTTCATTTAATTTCTCTGATTAAGATGTCCTGCGTTTGCAATCCTGCAACATCCAAAGCTAAAATGATGCAAGCGAGCGCTTAGTACCTTTTTATCTTCTGTTTTATCTTCTGGACCTTTCTTTCATTATTCATTAATTTTCTGGTGCGTGACTGAAACTGTTCACAAACGCCCCTTTGAACTATCATTCTTCGGATTTCGTTTGGCCTTGTTTGCCGCCCCGTGTATTCTTCCCCTATGTTCAAACATGAAGAAGAGATTGGAATTTGAGAGCTTTGAGGCTTCCGTTTTCATTTTCGTTTCTATTTCCTTAAGTATCTATCTGCACTTCAGGATGTTGTAAATCTGGGTTGCAGATTCAGCTTAAATGAAGATCCTGGAGTTGCTGCAACGCGTGTAGAAATTTTACACCACACAAGAGTGAAGATAAGTTACTGTCCAATGGTAAGATTCATTGTTGGTTCCTCGTAGATCGTTTCTAATACATCAGCTTCGCAATTGCATATCGATACTTAAGCCACAGATGTCAAACTAACCTTTCACCAGGCACGATGGAAACTCGTTCCACGCCGGGCTCTCGCTCTATTTTATACAACCCTCTCGTTTTCCTCGGCACGACTCGTACCAAATACAGGAAATGATCTGGATATAAAAACCATCCGTTCTCCAGCAGACGGCAATATCACCATCTCGTACAAAACCCTGCCTGCGTGGGTTTGTACAACCTCCTTGCCACATCAAAAGCAATATACCGGCTACGTTCACCTGCCGCCATCGACACTCTCTGCCGTTCAGCAGAACTACCCCATCAATACTTTCTTCTGGTTCGTGGAAACGAGACATAACGCAGACTCGGCGCCTCTTACCATCTATCTAAATGGAGGACCAGGGATGAGTTCCTTGACTGGTTTATTCCAGGAGATTGGGCCATGTGAGGCAATTGAGACCTCGCCGGTTCAAATATGTACTCGTGCTCGGGAGTGGGGTTGGGATCGGGCATCCAACTTGCTGTTTATAGATCAGCCCGTTCAAGTTGGGCTATCATTTGATAACCTGCGCAACGGATCGTTGGATTTGCTCTCCTCGTCGTATACTTTCCCGCCGTCCCCTGTTCCTGCTAAACAGGCGGAAGAAACCTTTCTCAATGGCACATTCAGTTCTCATGATGCTGACGCAACGTCAAATACAACAGCAATTGCAGCTAAGGCTGTTTGGCATATGTTACAGGGATTCCTGAGTGAATTCCCACTGTATAACCCTGGTACTGGCGGTAGAAATTCTGGTTCCACTGCTGGTATCCATCTCTTCACGGAAAGTTACGGTGGGAAGTATGGCCCAGCTTTTGCAACATATTTTGAAGAGCAAAATGAAGCGCGGAGAAGCGGTTTACTCACCCACAAAGGTACGGTGGAAATAAATCTGCAATCATTGGGGATCCTCCAGGGCTGCATTGATGATATCATACAAGACCCCTTCTACCCAATCTTCGCGCACAACAACACCTACGGCATCAAAGCCATTTCTCATGCAGAAATGTTAAACTCACTCGCTGCCTTCCAAAAGCCCGATGGGTGCAAGGAACGGATCATCTCATGCCGATCGGCAGCTTTGTCTCTCGATCCCGCTGGGAATGGTGACGTCGAGAGCGTAAACTCCCTCTGCTTCTCAGCAATGAACGTCTGTAACATTGACATTCTGAGCCCATTCTATAGTTTCAACCGGAGCGGGTTCGACATCACACAGTCGCCATTGTCCACCTTCGCCTCCCTCACGCATGTCACCTACCTCAACACAGCTAAAGTTCAAGCTGCGCTAGGTGTCCCACTAAACTATACAGGCAGCAGCGACGTAATTCGCTCGGCCTTTATATCGACGGGTGACTACCTACGCAAGTCGTACGTTCCGGAACTGGCCTCCCTGTCGGCGTCCGGGGTCCGGGTGGCTCTCATCTACGGCGACAGTGATTACGTCTGCAACTGGATGGGTGGTGAGGCTGTTTCATTAGCCATTGCATCCTCTTCCAACTCCCCAGCGGCGTATCGTGATAAAAATGCATTTAGACATATCGCTGGTTACGCGCCCCTGGTCATCAATTCTGCATCAGGAAAAGATTACGTTGGCGGAGTGGTACGCCAACTAGGCAATTTATCCTTCACGCGAATCTATGATGCGGGCCATTTTGTGCCTGCCTCTCAGCCGGAGTCTGTTTTCACGCTGTTCTCTCGCATAGTTGGTGGCGGGAGGGATATAGCTAGTGGAGCCAAGGTCGATCTAGCCACGTTCCATACGACGGGACCAGCAAATGCAACCAAGACGAATGATGCGCCGCCTATGGCGGCGACAACGTGTTATGTGCGCGCGGTGGAGGACACGTGCTCGACGGAGCAGAAAAATATGCTGAGGGAAGGAAAAGGGGTGGTTATTAACGGTGTTCTGTATAAGGACGAGTCTGAGTGGTCGGCGCCAGAGGAGAGAGGCCGGAAATGGAAAAGGGATATCTAGAACGCAAGTCAGATCCTGACGCTATCATACGCAGGACATGACGGCTAGTTCGTGCGCGAGGGTAGATTGTTTGATGGAAACGTCGTTTGGGATGTATATGAGGTGCAGGCCGTGAAATGTCACTTTTGCCCTCAGTCTTTCAGTGCTATGGGTCTCGTCTTTTGAGAAATCTCCCCCGTTAAGGAGTTGGTCCACGTCGCAAACAAATAATTCGAACCGATTCCCCCAACCCGCATTTAAAAATAAAAAATAAATGAAAATGAAAAACCCAGTGCTATTGCTATGAAATAAATGAGAACACAAAGAAAAGGAAAAATGGCGAAATGGGAATAAATGATGAAAAAAGGAGAAGAAATCCAGGTCTGTGTTTCTTCCAGTACCACCTGTCTATAATTATGACAGATGTATTAAACAGGAAACAATACACAAATACAATGGAAGCGTATTTTCATAGTTTAGAAAATATTAGCTCTCAAGTCATTAATAAAATCCATCATCCAAAAACAACGAAACGAAATCTCAACTGCCCATCTATATACCTGTCAATACTCGAATCGACTAGAGCTACACATCGATCAAGTTAGACTCTCCTGCTGTGTTGTCTCTCGTATCTTTATTCCCCTTGGCCCGTCCCTTGCCGGAACGCTGGTAATACTCATCAATTATTTTCTTGGGTATACGATTGAGCAAATCCTTGGGGTAAATTCGGAGGAGGTTCCACGCCAAGTCCAGGGACTCGAACACAGTGCGGGATTCATAGGGTGATTGGGAGATAAAAGTTCGTTCGAATTTATCTAAGAATTCGAGAGAGAGCTTATCCTCCGCAGAAAGGGCTTCTTCACCAACGACAGCTTTCATGTCGGCTGTGAAATTATTTAATTAGCATTTTAAATCAATTATTGTTCTGAAATTGGTCGTAGAAGGAGTCATACAGGCATCACGGCCAATGGCATATTTAGCATAGAGTTGGTTAGATACGTCACTATGGTCTCTCCGCGTACGACCTTCGCCAATGGCAGACTTCATAAGTCGGGAGAGTGAGGGCAGCACGTTAATTGGTGGGTAAACACCCTTGTTGTGGAGCTGGCGGTCGACGAAGATTTGGCCTTCGGTAATATAACCAGTCAAATCCGGAATTGGGTGAGTGATGTCTAGATGTTGGGTGTTAGCGGTGTCCGAATGTACAGAGACATTCTCACTGTAGAAAGCAAACATACCGTCGTTAGGCATAGTCAGAATAGGAATTTGGGTAATGGAACCATTACGGCCTTCGACACGTCCAGCGCGCTCATAAATAGTCGACAAATCAGTGTACATGTAACCGGGATATCCGCGTCTACCTGGCACTTCTTCTCGGGCTGCAGAAACCTCTCGCAGAGCATCGCAGTACGCAGAAAGATCGGTCAAAATAACCAGAACGTGCTTTTCCAATTGGTAGGCATAATATTCTGCAGTAGTCAAAGCTAGACGAGGAGTGATAATACGTTCAATTCTGAGCCACTAGATGTAAGCCTCATGCTTTTTTCCTCGGGGAATAGTGAGAGATCTTACGTTGGGTCATTTGCAAGATTAAGGAAGAGTGTAACACGTTCCATACTGCCGTTCTCCTCGAAATCGCGGGTGAAGAAACGACTGGTTTCCATGTTAACACCCATAGCGGCGAAGACAATGGAGAAGTTTTCTTCATGTCCATCATGCACGTCTTTGCTGGGCTTGTTTACTAGGCCGGCTTGACGACAGATCTGTGCAGCAATTTCATTGTGTGGAAGACCAGCTGCAGAGAAGATGGGAATTTTCTGTCCTCGAGCAATAGAGTTCATTGTGTCGATGGCTGAGATACCAGTTGAGATCATCTCTTCTGGGTATACCTGGTATGGCGTTTTAGTCTTAGAATCCTATTATGTTGGGAATTGTTTGAACCCACTCGAGAATATGGGTTGATTGGACTGCCATTGATGTCTAGATAATCCTCTGCAAGGACCTTAGGGCCCTTATCGATCGCACGTCCGGATCCATCAAATACACGTCCAAGCATGTCTTCCGAAACCCCAAGCTTGAGGCTGTGGCCTGTGAACTCGACTTTGGTCTTGGAGAGAATTAGCAAATGTATCGACCAGGAACACACTCAACTTAGGTGGCGACCATACCTTCTTGACATCAATACCAGGTGTCCCTTCAAACACCTACATCTTTAGTCAATAACTCAATCGCATATTAATAATATAAAACGTCGTTTTCCTCTACCGCATACGCACCTGAACAACAGCCCTGTCGCCTAATATAATTTAACGTCAGCGCCCAGATAGCCTTAGAAATATACATACAGGGGCGCGCTACATACCTCTAGCTTCCAGAACCTGGCCAGATCTTTCCGTTCCGTCGGGAAGCGTCAGGGACACGATCTCGTTGTAGCGGGGAAATTTAACCTAGGCGGCGGGAATTAAGAACGTCAGAAACCGGTGTATTACAAACACCATAACGAAGCGAGGACATACATTTTCAAGAATAACCAAGGGTCCATTGATGCCTCCTATTGTGTTGTATCGAATTCGAGGATTGACGGACATCATCCGGGGGTCGTTAATTCCTGGACCCATGATTGCGGATTGCGCTCTTTCTTCGAAGCTTGCTTATCGGGACTTCAGGGCTGATATAAAGCTGATATGAAGCTGAGACTGATAGCCAGGCCCGCAAAGGAGAGGAGGTATTGGAGCAGAGGGAGTGTTGGATACGCCGAGGAGTTGTATAGATGTTGTCGTCGTTCGTAGTCTTTCGGATGCGGTCATTCTCCTCGAAGCTTCAACTTGAAGATCTGGCACGTGATGTTCTTTTAGGGCCAATGTTTGGACGGAGGAACAGTCGGGCCGCATAAGGCGTTTAGTAATCCATTAACAACAACGGCTTCATGAGATGTTTAACTTTCTACTTCGACAGCAAATGTCTACAAGGAAGAGAAATGATAATTATTATTCATGAAGTTTCACGCTGTGTTAGAGATTACATATGATGCTCATCAACACCTAATTCTATAGCTACCCCAATTTTTGAATGCACTTAACTTCATCTTCGCATCTTGATCAAGCTCTTTTCTTCAGTGTTTCACCTGGTTATTCTGGGAAGAAACAACAGAATGCACAAGTGATAACTCTTCAGAATGATTGATTCATTAAACAGTCAGCAGGCTTTCCAGAGCCAGCTTTTTTTTTTTTTATTTGAGGTTGCTTCTCTCAAGCATTTCTGAGCATCATTTTTCAAGTTCATCCCAAGATCATTGATACCCAAACTATATCATGCCACTCAATATTTTATGGGATACTCAGCACAGAGATTGGTCGGCTGGCCCTCTCAATACTGATTCGCCATCTGAATGAAATTATGCATGCTGCCAGGACAGATTGAGGGCCTGGATCACCACATCTCACTTCAACTTTTGTTAGAGAGCTAGATATCCCAGAATTTCCTATAACTGTATTAGGCAATGAATATCTGTCACAGCTCGTTAATACGATGACTGACTTTATGGTACCCCTGTATGTTTGACAGCCAGGGAAGTTAAGGGTGTACATGGATACAGTGCGTGAATGAGGGTATCTTCCCCGCCTTCACCTGACCGCATGGAAGTTTAGGTTCTCCAAGAGAAAATAGAGGAACGGGGGATGAAGATAGTACACTAATTCTATGGCCTTCTTCTGTCCCATGCTCCCAACACGATTGGCGGGCGCTGGTGAATTTCCCTCTTGTCACAGCGATGTACCTGGATAGCTGACTCAAATAATGATAACCAGCACTGATAAAGACCATGCATGTCCTTAGTTTCTCATCAGACACAGGAACAATCTTAAACAAGAGTGGTTTTGTTAGATAAAAGGGTTATGCTTGTGTTCGAATATGGGTTGAGCGAAACTCATCCTTGATCCCATTGCTGGCTAAATTCGACACCTTACGCCCGACTTGCAAACCTCCTACGCATATTCTGCCAAGTTTAACGTGTCCAGCCTCTTGGTTGCAAAATAGATTCTGCTGCTTTATGTCTACTTTTATTTACACTCTGCATAGCAAAATATAGTCTGCTGTGCTTGTAGATGTAACGCTTTAAAAACATATATTTAAAATCATTATATTTTAGGATATGGTACACATCATGTAACATGTTGTCCAGCAAAGACAGAAGATGTATTAGCTCGCACATAAAGATGTAGTTACGAGCAAAATAATAAGAAAAAAATGCTGACGTAGCTATGTATTTATACGGCGAGACCTCTTCCATCAATGCAAAAAGCTTTTCCTTTCCCTTTTTGTCCCATCAGCCGAACAGACAAAAGTCATCCGAAAGGTAAAAAGCTGTAGGAACTATTCTCTGATTCCTTCAAAACCTCAAATCCCAGCCAATCTTAGGACCCAACTCCGGCAATGCTTCCGCCACACTCTGCACATCTTTATCACCTCTTCCACTCAAATTCAGCACAATATTCCGCCCTTTCTTCATCGTCTTCGCCAATTCCACAGCTCCATACACCGCATGAGACGACTCGAGCGCGGGAATGATCCCCTCCAACTCCGTGATCAGCCGGAAACCCTGAAGCGCTTGCGCATCCGTTGCGGCAATGAACGTGGCACGGGACTGGTCCTTCCACGACGAAAGCTCCGGTCCAACTCCGGGATAGTCAAGCCCTGCAGAGATGGAGTGGGTGTCGGAAATCTGGCCGTGTTCATCTTGCAGGATGTAGGTACGCACACCGTGCAGGACACCCTTGGAGCCGTGCGAAAGCGTTGCGGAGTGTCGGGTGGTGTCCGTGCCGTCGCCACCGGCCTCGACGCCGAGGAGCTTGACCCTGGGGTCATTGGAGAAGGGGTAGAACATGCCGACCGCATTGCTACCGCCACCTACACAGGCGACAACGGCATCGGGTAATCTGCCAGTTAGCTTTAGCATTTGTTCTTTGGTTTCTTCGCCGATGACGGATTGGAGTGTTCGGACGATGGTGGGGAAGGGATGAGGTCCAATGGCAGAACCAATCACGTAGTGTGTGGTATCGAGATGGACAACCCAGGCCCGTAGCGCTTCGTTGACGGCATCACGAAGTGTCCGCGAACCGGATTCGACGGCGACGACTTTGGCTCCGAGAAGTTTGATGCGGAATACGTTTAGAGCTTGGCGACGCACATCTTCAGCGCCCATGTAGATGACGCAATCCATGCCAAACTTTGCGCAGACAGTAGCAGTCGCTACACCATGCTGACCCGCCCCGGTCTCCGCGATAATACGCGTTTTGCCAAGGCGACGAGCCAGCAAAACTTGGCCGAGCGCATTGTTGATCTTGTGGCTTCCTGTGTGATTTAGGTCTTCGCGCTTGAGATAGATGTTAGCTCCTCCAGCATATTCGGTCAGGCGCTCCGCAAGATGCAGACTGCTTGGTCGGCTCATATAAGGATAGTACGACCGAAACTCCTCCCAGAATGTGGGGTCATCTTTGGCCTTCTTGAAGCCTGCCTCAAGCTCAGCGAGGCTGTCCATGAGAGATTCTGGCACGTACTGGCCGCCAAACTCGCCGAAGCGAGCAGGCATTGCGGCCTGATCTCTGGTCACATTGAGAGCGAGTTGTTGCTCGACCAGGCCGACTTCAGAATCAGTCTGGCCATTCGTAATGACATGATCAACCTGAGCATTTGTTGGCTGTTGAGCTTGAGAGAGCATTTCAGAACGGCCCACTTCTCGAGTTAAAGATTTGGATTCTGTGCTACGTTCCACTTTCCTCCCAGTGATGCTCGTGCAATATTCTTCGATTTTCTGGGCTCTCTGGCAAGCAGGAGCTTCACCAAGAACAGTGATCATCTGGCTGCCGATGACTGCACCCTCAGAGATATCCTGCACCCTCAAGAAATGCTCTCTCGTGCTGATGCCGAATCCTAGCGCAGTGGGAATGTTTCCAGAGTAGGCATGGACCCGAGCAAGGAGCTCCGGAAGCCCTTCGCTGAGTTTGCCAGTTGCACCTGTAACACCCATTCGAGAGACGACGTAGATAAAAGAATCAGCGATCTTGCAGAGCAATTTCATTCGAGAATCGGAAGTGGCGGGTGCGATCAGTGGAACATAAGATAACCTGCACCCCGGATTAATATGACACCCAACGAGTCACGGAAGAGGCGATCTGGCTAAGACTCGAGAGCTTAAATGGGAAAAGTCCAACCAATCTAACCCGGGAAGAAAATAAAAGAAACGGGGGAAATAAGGGAAAATAATAATAAACTTACCCCTCCTTTCTGCACAAATCCCGAAACCGCACCGCTTCTTCTGGCGGAAGATCAACCATGATGAATCCATTCACACCTGCCGCTTTCGCGTCTTTCAACATTTTTTCCTCTCTATACTGGAGCAATGGATTGTAGTATCCCATGAGCAGCACGGGAATTTTCAGTCCTCTTCTCCTCGCAATCCGCACCATCTCAAGCACCGAGGTGACCGTAACACCGTTCTTCAACGCTTGTGTATTAGCTCTTTGGATGGTAGGACCGTCGGCGATAGGATCTGTGAAAGGGATGCCAAGTTCAATCACATCTTATATTTCCCAACGGTGGGCGACACAACCAAGTCAGTAATTAGTTTTTCCACGCTCGCTTACTTTTTTTCCCCGTCCCCGTATTTACTATTATTAATATTATTATTCTCCAAGCTCGATAACTGGAATAAACAATCAAGAAATCAAAAAAGATAACACAAGAAATAGAACATCCACCACCACAAGGTTCCGCGAAGGGGAAAATTCATGATATGGAAACTTTATGAAAACACACACGAAGAGAACCCCAGCTCTCTTTTTTACTATATGTCGAATGCTGTGGAATTCCCCCACAACATGCTAGTTGACAAATGATAGACACACGCAATAAAGTTGCAAAGAAAATCGAGAACCAGAACAATAGTGGTAAAGGAAAGGAAACGGCATTTTCACTCACCAGCTCCGCCAGCTTCCATTGCAAGTGCGATGTCAGGCGTATCATCCTTCTCAGGGTAACCGGCTGTCACATATGCGACCAGCGCACAGCGCTTTTCCTGCTTGCATCGTGCAAACGTCTCTTTTATCTTCTCCATATCCGCTAAAATGTAACAAGATTTCCAGAAGTATTACCAGAAAGGAAACGGGTCTAGAATAACTCCAGGCCACGAAAAATGCAGGAGAGGGCTATCGGGAAGGAGTGTGAGTTTGAATGGGGTTATCAATCTAACTCAACTCTTGGAAATCTAGAGAGAAAGTCGAAATCCAAAATGCACATGCGGTGTGCGTTCGGTATGGCGTGCTTAGTGCAATTACAGGTAGGACGCAATGCGGGGTTGACCTGTTTTTTCCGGCCGTCTTTCACAGTCCACGCACGGGTTGGCTCGTCAAGGGAAAACGGCCAATGGAGCTATAATTCGGTATGCGGTGTGTAATCTGTAGACATACACAGAGAGTAAAACGGAAAGCCGAATAGACGATGGGAGCCCTCCTAAGCTGAAGATTATGTTTAAGCGGGTGGTTGAGATAGATCGGTCTCCCTCAAATCTTTTTCGTAACTAACTATTTTCCCGCTTCCGCCACCAGGAGGTTGCTGACTAAGCGTCAACTTTGTTCATCGGGCACCAACATGCGGGAATTGGCGGGATGTTGGGGTGTAGGCAGTAGCAATTATGCAAGCAACAAATTATGTACGTAACATGTAACTCTGTACTGTGCGATGTGCAGCAGAAATGCACAAAGACCGTTTGAAATTAATTACCAGATATGCCCTTGTCCGGTTCGCATCTTTGTATCCTGAGGTTTACTCGAAAGTAGAGCCAAAATCATAATATGCAACGTCAATAGTAATTCGATGTCAATTTGTATAGGAATAACCAACTGTGACTAGCTAAATAGAAAATCCCAGTTTGATCGATCAGTTGAATAATCCAATCCCCATTTCAAATCCTTCTTTCTTGAGGAAATATCGAAAAGACACTGAAAATTAACAAATATAGAGATAGAGTCAAGATCCTAGAAAAACACATATTCAGAAATGAAAAATCCTGATCATATATCCCATTTCCCAGCCAAAAGAAAGAAAAGAAATAAAACAAAGACACAAGACAAAAAGCAAGCAACCCCAATGGGAATTATCCCAAGCCCAGTTTCCAAAAAGAAAAAACAGAGATTAATAAGAGTCTCACATCCAGATCCCAATGCAATTATGCCAAAAAGAAAAAGAGAAATCAACAAAATAGTCCCCCGATGCATCAAAAAGCAAGGAACCATATCTTAAATAGGCCCTAGCGCTGTAAGGGAGTGGCTTATGCAAGTGCAAGAAGAGATCCCAAGAATGCTGAAGATGAGATCCTGTATCGAGTGTGTTTGCGCAACGACAGAAGGAGTGTCTGTGTGGCTCTGTTTTGCCAACCCAAGAAACGAGAAAACTGCATAATAAAGCAACGAGAAGACAGAAACACTTTGCAAGAAACAAGCCTAACGTGCAGCCGTATTAAATAGCGAAGAGAAAAATATAGGAGGGGGGATCGGCTTCGTAATTATGCGGAGCGGAGCGGATGTCTAGGAAGCAGGTGAGAAGGGTCGGTGTGGGGTGAGGAATTAATTGGTAGGGTGTTTTGCCGTGTTAGATGTCTATTAGTAACAGGTGCGCATCATTATTAAAGACAGATGTTTGAAAAGAATGGATCGTAAAACAAGCACCTCGTCCACCCTCCCCGCTTTGCTGATACGCGTGCTTCCTTAAGCAAGGCAAGAAATAACGTAAGAAAAAAGCAAAATCGTCTCAAGAAAAACGCCGCGCTTGTTTCTGATAAGTTCGTTGAAGGAGTGAATTTTAAAGAAAATCGCTAAAAGGGAAGAACGCTATGCATCGGATGGTAAAGGAACGGTAGGTTAGATGGGGACACTGCAAAAGAAACAGAGAAAATGATAAATAAAAAAGCAAAAAAGCAAAAGCAGATCCTTTCCCCCTTGGGCTGGCTATGCAAAACAGCAGAAAAGGGAAAAAAGGGAAAAAAGGAAAGAAAAGAAAAAGAAAAAAAAGAAATCGATAATTGGAGATCGGATACTGGAATATCGGGATAATATCGGGATAACGCGTTTATGATAGTGGTGAGACGGGTTCCTAGGTCCGTGGTGAGGTAGGTTCAGAGGTGGGGAGAGATGTATTGACGTTTGCTGTTTCATGTTGTGTAAGGACGACTGGATAGGAGCGGGTGAGATGGTGCGAGCAGGCAAGGGTCAGCACATCGAGATTAAAGAGGAACAGTTGACAAATGACGAGGACTCCAGGTGTGATCAGGAAACAATCGATGCGGGTTTGTTTAGGCTGAACCAGAATCGGTGACTGTGTCGCATGATTCACCATGTCTGAAAAGGTAGCCCGAAACATAGCCAAGGATATCTAGTCGGGTTTAAGCATTTGTAAAGCGACGACCTGTGGTTTCAAAATATTTCTGCATCACTTCCCACAAGCTTGCGATCTTCCAGCTTGGTCAATCTGTAACAGAGACCCGATTGGCTAGCACCTAGCACTCAAGGATTCACGGAGTGCACTAGGGTCCAGTGGTTGGATTGCTCAGTGAGTAGACTGGTGGGGCCGCATAATCCTGGCTGACAGATGTAATGTGGCTCTGGCGCGGATAGCTGAGGGCAGGGCTGGGAACTACTGTAGCTGAGGAGGGTGAGTTAACGAAGGCAAAGTCCCACGACCCACGGCTCCCGGGCACACCAGGGGCTTGCTGAGGCGGCTGCTGTTTGATAGTCTGGTAATGGTGTGGAGCAGGAAGGTTGGTATACTGGCGACTGCTGTTGGGTACCATCAGTCGAAGGTCAACTGAGCCAGGCACAGGAGAATTATCCAGGGTTTGTTTTGGACCGCGCAGATGGGGAGATACTCCAGTTGCTGCCAAATTGCTACCATATGTAGCGGAGACTCCCGTTTCGGAAATTGATCGCGGAGAGGTGGCATGCAGATCTGCACTGCCATCTGATGCACTCGTACTGATATAATTTGAGCTAATGGGAGTCGGAAGAGCTCCTGCAGTAGACGAATAACTTGCAGACTTTATATATAAAAGTTAGTTTCGCATTTTTAACCAGACTCCCAGCCTCCCAGCCTTGAAACCAACGACGAAGGAACGGAAAATAGGAGTCACAGCTAAGACTTACGTATTTCCCAATAATCTTCTTCAGCGCATGGGAGAGTATCTTCCAGGGGAAGACTTTCACATCCTTTTCGATATTGCGCGGCTTCGGATTTGGAAATCCCATAATGACCTTGAAAAAATCCTCGCTCTCTGGTTTAGCCTTGGATACTGTCAATGGACGAAAACCTTCCAAGTTTCTGCGGATACGATTTTTCTCCTCAACTGTAAATCTTACTCCCACAAGTGATTCGAGAAGGTAAATGGTATCAACGCTTGTCACATAACACTCTTTCTTGCCCTCCCAATAGATGCAACTAATGCAGATGCTGTTAGGAACACGGTCAGAGGGAGCAACAGGTTTGAAATCAGCATGGATAGTGCTTCCGTTCTGGCGTCGTGTAAAATGAACAAGCCTCCTTTTTGAACTGTTTTCTTCGGAAGTCCAGTTTTCAGCCATGGAATCGAGATCTCCATTTAACTTAAGAATTGCTTTGGAAGGGTACATCGCATAAGGATTGAACTGTTGGTTCGGCCCGCCTGCGCCTGCCAAATGCTGGATGGTAGAGGTCCGAATGAGAGTTGGGTTCATCGTTTTCACAGGAGAAGGCATTGAAGGGGAATGAGAATTGGGGGTCATGCACAATCCCGGGCTGCGAGCAGACATATTGACTGTAGAAAACGATGGACTCCATGATGATGCTAGTGGAGAAGGAGCTTTGATCATGGGTTGCGACGCACATGGAGTCCCACTGTATTGTCGCAAAGACGGACGAGGAGAAACTGGATAATACTGGGCTGGATAGACGTTTGCAGTCGTCGGAGTTGGGAGGTAAGGAGAATATGGCGATCCTGAGAGACTGTCGCTGTACCCAAATGAAGTTTTCGGCTCCTTAATGCGCAGCTGCTTAACTGGTGCTGATCGAGTTGATCTTGATGTCTCGTCGGACGCATCAGAAAGTCGTCTCTTCCGCGATGTGCCTGCAGGAGAAACGGCAGACTGAGGATTATGGTCGTAAGTAAAAACACCAACATGAACAGCTTGCGCCCCTTGACTGTCGTTGTCCTCCATAATCATCTGTAGAGGGACCGTGAGGGAAGGACAACCTGTAGCTGCAAAAGGCGGCGCATCGACCGATAGCACATACTGGAAGTTGGATTTAACGAAGCCTAATGGAGTAACGATGCATGCACACCGTTCGGAACCAAAGAGCAACGAGAAGGAAGTTGGGGCAGGTGAGAGAAGGTCGTACAGGGAATGGAGATAGACTGAGAGCTTTGATCCTTCATGGCCAGTGAGCGGAGAGTAGGATGTAACTTCCGGCAGCTGACGGGAACCCAAGTCCAAAACAGGAGAGCGGGGCACGTCAAAGGGATGAGATTCGCAGGACCCATCACCTATCACATAATGTACACCATCATCGTCCGGGATGGTGTGGCTTTCCAGGGCAGAGGGAAAAAGATGTGTTACGTAGGGTGGCTGAGCATAAGAGGAAAATCCAGCCGCGTCGTGGTATGCCCGCGTGGCATCATAATCTGACGAACCAAAAGGAGAAGAGCTGTCAGTTTAAAATAAATCCATACCATGTGTGACCCCCCTGTTTTGACATGAGAGCATGGGATGTAATTGGTAGAGGACCCGAAATATTATTTTCAGAGCACGATTCAATTAATTAATTAATTAATTATTTTTTTCCTTTTCGTTGCAGAGGTTCGAAATTCTCTCCGTCTTTTATTTTCCTCTCCAAGCTGACTCAACACAGCCTCTGCCGGAAAATATATGTAAAACACGGAGAGGAAGATCCACTCACCCAATAAATCGACTTGTGGAGATTTCTCGTAAGCAGACATAGACAATAATCCTTCAGACTTGGCTAGAAGGCTGTCTGAAAAGGCTCCTACAAATCCCGACTCCTCAGGGTCGGAAAAGTCGAGAGATTCGTCGAAGATCAATGGAGTCTGGAAATCCAGATCCAGCTAGAATGGCGAGTCAGCAATGTAACACAAGGAAACGAATGTGAGAAAAGTGTCAGATGTTCCGTTATAGCAGGTATACGAGGGAGAGGCCAAAACAAATGCGTCCGAGTTGTATGGTAGAAGGGGATCAAAATAACGGCGATGGGAGACATACTTGAGCACAGTGATTCTTTGGAAACGCCATGGTGATGGTGTTGCAATATATGCAACGCGGAAAAGTGTTTGAATAAGCGAGTGGACGAGATTTTAAAAAATCTCAAAAAAGGAATATAGAAGGAAAATTGGTGGAGTTCCTCAGGTGGTTCTCCGAGACAAAAAACGAGCGACAAGATGAGGGAGGGTAAGTCAACCTCAAAATTAAGTTGCAAAACAAAGCCCTCCGAATCAGCACATAGAACCACAATTGCTGGAAGGTGAGACGGAAACCAATGTTTGCTAACAAACTCAGATCTTCTAACGAAAGAATCCCGAGAAATGGCTTTTCCTCAAATCTTTGAGCCCAAGAGACATTCGACAATGAACGAGCTGGAATGATGAGACCGGAAGAATATCCACAATCTCTATGAGCAGCACCGTAAAAAAATATTGCCCTGTAGATCTGCTTGAGCAAGATAGAACCTGTGGAGACAAGACTTTTTCTGAACACCCTGGTTAGATCGAGTTTCGGAAGGTTGAAGAAAGCTAGACGATAATTGAGAATTGGGAAAAATGGCGCACGATCAACTACTTCATTGATTAGCACTGAACACATTCCAAAACAGAAGCGCGGATTGTTGCAGTATCCCAGGAGAAATCTCACCAAGTGGCTAAAGATGTAATAAACAGGTGTCGTGGCAACTCGAAATCCTTTCGGATTCTCAAAGAAGGAGCAAGATTTGCGATGATATAGACGCTAGAGGAGAAGGCCAGGTTAGTTACTGGGAAACAAATCTAAAGTCAAACACGGTCTGAGAGAACCGTGGATGACGGGAATGACCCTGCATGATAAACCAATAATGTAATGAACCAATAAAACCAGAAAAAGGAAACCCAGGATGTAGATGAAGAGAAAACCCTGGAGAACCACAGATTGCTTGGATAAGGATGACGCGAGCGGGAAATAGTGGGCAAGCGCTCGTCTGGTATCATCAAAATAGCATAAATCAAAGGACAACCATGCTTGAAAAAATGATAGCCAAGAGAAACAACTGAAATAGAACCACAACGAACCTCACAAATGGCACAGAAGAACAAGCGCTTCTGCTATTTCTTCCCAAGGCGATAGCAGGCTAATTGTCTAGCATATGACCAAAGGTTGATGGAGAAAATAGTTTTGCTAAAATTGACTGGAGTGTTCAGAATCGAGGTATCATGTGACCACGGGATGGTTGAGGCGGGATTGCGATTGGAGCTGGTAGGCGTATGTATGATAACGGATGAAATGACCTTGCCAGAAAAGTGATGCAGACCGATAAGAAGAGGAAGACCTTGTTTTTAGAGAATTGGTATATGACCGGCGGAGAGGTTTTTTGATTATCTGGCAGTGTATCGGGAGGTAAATTAACAATCAATTTCCTTCGTCATGTAAAGAGATTGATTGGGGAAAATTGGTTCTCCTGCTTCCCGTCGGAAAGATCCACAGACAAACGACCGACACGGCAGGTTTCTATGGATTTGAGCACAACAAGGGCATCCAATAGAACAGAGCCAAGCGCTCCGGCTGGATGGTAAGACGGGGAATCGATGGTTGAGAGTTGTATATATACGCTAGGCCTTCTGCTGCTTGGATGTAACTATCGGATCGGATTCTTCTGTTGTTCTTTATCTTTGCTTTTGCCGTCACCACTACTTCTCTAAATTTTTTCTCCTTGCCTTTTTCTCCTCCCACTTAGCCTAGGCTCAAAAGGTCGTTTGGCTGTATCGCATGTATATCTCTGCGTTTTCACACGTAGTTCAGTAATACAGCGGGCACACAGAGCGAGAGGTATGCTGTCCGACCGCACTCAGATACGAAAGACGAAGCCGAACTGGTCCGAGCGAGAGAGACTCGAGCAATAAGGAGTTGTTGACGATGATGCGTGTTGTGTGTTGCTGCGGATTCTTGTTTTGAAAGAATTTTTTTTCTTTTGAAAAAAAAAAGAAAGAAATCGGGGTTTCTTCTCTTTCTCACTCTTTCTTAAGCTTCCTGTTCGTTGATTTGTATAACTCTTCTTTCTTTCAGTATGCTTTCAAACAGTGTTGTTAGTTGCGGACAAGGTGAAAAACGAGGACACAAGAAAAGGTAGCGAGCGTATATTCCGTTGAACCCAGAGCGAGTGTTGGGTGTGCAACGGAACAAAAAATAAGAAAAAACAGGAAAAGAAAAATAATTATTATAAGATCACGTCGTCATTTAGATGGTGGTGAAACAAGAGGAGTGGAGAAGAAGTTAGGAAGAAGCGGAAGATGGATGAGAGAGGGAGAGGAGAGGGAGAGGAATAGAAGAAGGAAAGGCGGACAGGCAGAAAAATGGATGATGGCCACTTACAACCACGCCATTATCGTCGTCTGGTTTGCCCCCACCACACCACGGGTAAATAAGAGGTGGTGTCGTTTACTAAGTGGGCGTGGACAGCATGGTTTGGGCCATTCCCGCCTGGATCTTCTTTTCCCTTCGGGGCTAGCGCAAGTTTAACCAAGCAGGGACAGGGATGTTGGACGCTGTGAATTACCTGCTAGGCTGGCGTAGAGCCTTGGTGACCGCTGGTTGCTGGCGGGGCACCGCTAAAGATTCCCTAGTTTTGGGCGGGTGAAATCTAGCTGTTAGGCCCTCCCTGAACCGGCAAACAGTGACCTGCACGCACTGCAAGTTTTAAGGGGACTGTTGGTATCTACGAATGCTGCGAGCAAAAACCCTGGGATTATCATTCTTGTTTTCTCCTCCGTTACTGGGAATTAATTATCATCCGTTTATCGAATTATTTATGAACACCCTCCTTCAGGCTCTGTAGCTTCCTATGATCCCTGATTTTGCTTTTCCAGCTCTTCCGAATTCATTTTCTCATTATTGACTTCCAAGGCGGACATTATTATCCTCCTGCCTGCGCCACCATGCCGAAATATTCCCCTCCCTCCCTCCCTCTCTCCCTCCCTGCCAGAGAGAATTAATTAATCATTACCCTCCTTCTTCACTCTCATTAGACCGCAGGGGGTTTTTATGTGCAAGTCGTGTGTATTGAAATAATCGAAAAAAAATGCATGTATAACATCGTTACAGTTGAGCACACAGATTATCACAACCCGGAATAGCTGCTCAGCATTGTTGCATGTGTGATGATCATGCTCGTCTGTAACGCTCCAGCTTTGCTTCCAGCAGTTCCCATCCATACGATGAAACTCAAATCTTGACTCCAACAACAGCCCTTCACTTGTGTGGCGTTAACGCCCAACACATCTGCTGTAAATCATACAGTGGTTATACAACACCACCAGTATGAGAGCGCGAGGGGTCGCAGCATCAACAGCTCACCCACCACACCTCACAATTCATTCTTGTACTTCTCCAGTCACCATCATACTCCGACAGCCTGCATTAAGCTGTCCCTCTTAGCCTCTTGATATATTCGATAGCTGTTTTATCTCGTTTAATTTCATCATATGATTCATGTCCTCGCAGTACAATCCGTTTGTCAGCATGATCAAGACGAACCCTCAACTGCCGGTCTTGTAACCGTGAACATCCCAAGCTGCTTACGCCCGTGCCCCAACTTATCCCCAAACAGGCATAGCCAACCTCTGGATTTAAATAGAATTCCATCCTTGACCTGGCCCGGTTAGCCTACCTGCTCCTCTCGCGTGTCTTTGGGATAGATCCGATCCTGGCCGGCTCTGCGTCGCCTCGACCAGTAACTTGTGTTCTTCCGGAATCCTCTGCTTTCTGTGAACTGGGATGAACAACCCTCCACACCCGTCGAGGCTGTGCAGCAATAGTCGCTTGAATGAGTTTTGGCGGACGTTGACTCCGGCTCATGGGGCTACGCTTTACATTCCATCTCGAAAACTATTTCAAGATAATTGGGAAGAGAGCAGTTACAGGCGTACAGTCAACTTGAATGTGGTGGTTTAAACAAAGTTGAGCTATGGTTTTAAAATTCGGCCGGAAAAACATCCAGTGTGGTTGAAACATTCAGATCATGACAATGCCCAATCAAAATCCACGTACACCAGATATCTCTTATGCTCATGATGATAGTGGTTTATCGTATTTCTCGGGTCCTTCCTTTCCAACAAATTCTAATCCTAATCTACCCCAAACCCTGGTGTTGATAGCAGCAAGGTTGAGTAAATATTAAGCAGTATGTGTGGTGTAGGTATGTGCAGAGAATTGTAGAAAATTGTTGTAAAGAAAAAAAAAAGTGGGCCCAACTCACAAAACTGAGTTCAGCTTTGTAAAACTGCGTTCAACTGTAACCCCGCAGTGACACGTTCACACCAAAATAAAATACCAAGCGAACAGTGAGGAAGAGTGGTCAAAGCCTACAATTAACCTACAATAACACGAACAGGCAACCCACCCAGTCCAGTAAACTCGAATCATGCGAGGTGTGTTTCTATATATAGACTGTCAAGAGTTCAATCTGTGGGACTCTGGAACTTTAACCTGTCCTGTGGTCAAGGCTTGTAGCTCTTTTGTTGCCCAATCATAGGAATCATTCGACCATTGACAATGCCGCCAGATCGACAGCATTATTTTGATTATCATCATTGATCATGATGTTAGGTTGAAGGACTAAAGGATCTACTCACCAGCAATCACCACTTACAACTGTTCAAGTGTTAGCTGCCCAAAATATCCGACCAGGACCATGATGTAGTCACAGGGCTGGCTGGCAAAAGGGTCAGCCAGCAAGTTCATCTCAACCAGGGTACTAGTAAGCAACATGCATTTTCTTCTGACTTTGTAAAAAAATATGAACTCTCCAACACGAGAAACACATCAAATGATGGCAACATGAAGCATGACAGGCACCTCTGGGAATCTACAGGAAGAAATTTTCATAGAATCATTCGGGAAAAATCCGCAGTTTTGTCCCAGCTGTCACCGACTATCGCCGAAGTGGAGCTTTTGCCATCTGTCGCTTCTTACTCTATCTCAGAATAGTAGTAATGTTATATGCGATTGGATTACACGAACCCACTACCAGCTAGCCTATGACGCAAAAGGAA